TTGGGTTTTCGTCGCTTGGCAACGACGTTGTAAAACAAGCCGCCCCCCCCGGTGGTTGTTTTGGTACGGCGTTAAAATAAATACTAAAGTCTCCCATTGGGCGGTGGAGGACTTAGAGCTAAGACACCCCAAAACTCTCCGGCGTGAGATCCAAAATGGATCGAACGGTGGAGGGGGGGGGGGTGTTCGTTGCTTGAAGTGGATCGATAAAACATAGAGCCATCAAAGCAAAGCTTATTACTCACGTCGAGCAAGCTGAACGACCGGACCAACCACGCAAAAACTGCGGAGCTAGATGTGCGGCACGCACAATGCATTGTTTTCGATTGGAGAGAGGCGAGTATAAAGCAGTAAGGAATTGTTGGCCAAACTTTCGGCAGATAGGTCTACTCGGGAGCGTAAGTGGGGTAGCAACCCATGGTGGAGCGTACATGAGAAGCTGGACGTTGGTGTACGCCCCATCCCGGCGTGTGAGTAGGATCTTAGGCTATGCAAGTCGTCCCTGAACTTATTGTGGTGAAAATGACCTCCCAGGAGGAAAGTAGCCTGTACCGCGGGACTTCGGAGATGATAAATTGGGTGGTCGGGGGACGTCTGGGTGTTAACTAAGCAGAGCGCCCGGCACAAGACTGGGGTACTTGTGTCAGGAGGTGTGAAATTGGATCTAGACTACGAGCCTATGTTGGAGGCGCTATTTAGCGTCGGTGAGCCGGCAAAAGAACTGAAAGGAACCACAACCCCCGCCGGACACTCGGATTGGGAAGGCCGAGTATTCCGTATACCTTCCTGAAAAAACACGAAAAACAAGTGGCCACGGTCCAGTTGCCGTAGAGATCATGAGGATGGTGAAGAAGCTTGGAGGATGGAAGCAGAAACTGTGGAAGGGAGACAAGTTGGAGCTGCTGCTGTTTGGGATTCCAAGGGACATGACGAGGATAGAGTTCAAGAACTGTTGTGACAGGGAGGGACTGCACTGCCTAGCAAGGGGACAAGTAGGCAGAGAACATGAACACTTCCGGGTGAAATTGACCAAGGGAGACAGCCAAGAGTGCTTGGGGGTTGATATCGAGAAGCTGTCGAACTACGTAAGGAAGTTTGGATGGAGGGTTTGCATCGCGAACATGATAGAAACAGAGAAGGTAAGGAGACAAGAGGCGAGGGCGGCGGAGGCGAAGAAAGGACCGAGCAGGGCAGTCGAACAAGCAAGTCAGAAGAAGTCCGAGAAGAAGCGGAAGGCGAACGATAGAGTGCGCAAAATCTCCAATAGGGAAAAGCGCAAGCTGAGAGTCGGGTCGTGGAACGTGTGCGGGTTCGCAAGGAGTGAGCGCAAGCGGTTGGAAATAGTGGACCAAGTAGAACAAAGCGATCTAGATGTAGTGGGGATCCAAGAGACGTGGGAATTGAAGGATGGGGACGTGGTAAGCAAACTAGGGAAATACCGGTGGGTAGGGAAGGCAAGAAAGGGCTTAGACCCGAAGAAAAGGGGGGAGGGGGGAGTCGGATTCCTGGTCAAGGAACACTTGTTTGACGTGGTGGAAGTAGTGGTGAAAACGGAATTCGAGGAAAGCCTATGGCTAAAGATACCTGGGGAGCGGGGTGAGAAAGACTTGTTTCTAGGGAACGTATACGTCCCACCGTCGTCGAAGAAAGTCGCAAGCAAGGCGCAGGAGAACTTTGGACAAATTGGGGAAGATGTCCAGAGGTTCAGTAGGAAGGGAGAAGTTGTCATGGTGGGCGATTTCAACTCCAGAGTAGGGAAAGCTTCCAGTAGAGGACAGGCGATCGGGCAGCACGGAGAAGACAAAGTGAATGACAACGGAGTGAGGATGCTTGAATTCTTGGGAAGCAACGAACTGATGGTGTTGAACGGTAGGAGGGAATGCGATAAGCCGGAGTTCACAAGGCAACGGGCAGTTTGCAATGAATACTCAATCCTCGACTACATCCTGGTAGATAGGGGGAGCACGCAGATCCCAGAGCTGCACGTAAGTGCGATAGATATAGGTTCGACCGACCACTTCCTCATATGGGCAAACATCGACCGATCTAGAAAGATCAAGAGTAAGAAACAGAGGAAAGTGTTCCGGTGGAAGGTAGAGCGTTTGGGAGACGATGGGACACGGGATGAATTCCAGAAGGGGCTGGCTGGTAGTGTAGAATCCTTCAGGAAACTGCTGAGAAGCGTCGAAGACGGACAGGTAGACGTACAGACAGCAGGGGACAGGGTGATTGAAGGGTGGGAGTCCATCGTGAACGCAACGGCAGAGAGAGTAGTGGGAAGGAAGGTGGTACGATGTGGGGTATCGGTTAAGTGGTGGGATGACGAGCTGAAAGAAGAAATAGGGGAACGTAGAGAAGTCTTCAAGCAGTACCTGAGTGAGGCGTCTGAGGAGAGTTGGGAAAAGTACAGGGCCAAGAGAAAACAGGTGAAGGGACTAGTGAAAAAGAAGAAAAAGTGTATTTGGGACGAAGTAGTGCAGAAGGCCAACGGAGGCCTGGAGGGAAACGTCAAGCAGATGTGGGAAGGGATTAGTGGAATGGTAAAAAAGACCGCGCAAGGGGGGGATACAGGGGTCGCAACTTTGCGAGGTGTGAACGGTGGATTAGTCAGCAGTGGGAAGGGAAAAAGGGAAGTTCTAGCAGGACACTACAAGAGACTTGGAGTGCCCTCGGAGAATGAAGCTTTTGACCAAGTGTTTAAGAAGGAGGTGGACGCATGGGCCCAAAAAGAAGAAGAGACATCGAAGGCAGACGTTGGGAACGTAGAACTAGAAAAGGAGTTCACTGAGGACGAGGTTGAGGCGTGTGTGAACAAGCTGAAGTGCCACAAAGCAGCAGGAGCGGATGGGATAGTCAACGAGTTCATGAAGTTTGGGGGGAAGGGGATGATCCAGCTGATGGTTCGGCTGTACGATTGGG